ATAAATGTTAAAAATAATCTCCAAGTAGTACAAATGTAGCTTGATCTTTGCTCAGTAGTACATTATTGATATTAATAAAATTCAAAAACGAAAATATTTTTTCTTTGATCTTTATGGTCATGTATTTGTGTACACATTCATCTCACAACACAATCATACTTATTCAAATACCATAGATTGCACTGTGCAGTGCACAGGAAAAACTATATAATAATTGGTTCTGCATTGTAGTACAGAGTTTACAGGAGTATTTAAACAAACCATAGGAACCAAAACTGGGAAAAAGTGACTAATAACTTATTACAGTAGGAAATAACTTTTTAATATATACATTTTACATTGTTGAAAGCAACTACTGTCTGTCTATTCTGTGGGGACCACAGATGGGCAAATATTGCAAAGAGCACAACAAACTGTCACCATCTTGTCAAGTGAGGTAGGTTGTCCTTTAGTGGCCCCTTGGCAGAGAGACAGAGGCATGGTGGTTTGAAGGACAGTGTATTTGTTCCTGACCAGGCCAACGACTCTCTCCACATGGATCCTGACAGCAGCAAGTCCCCTTGTTGCTTCTAGTTCCAGTGGATGCAGTTGCTGCTTGCCTTTGGTGAATGACAGATACAAAAATATAATTAAATTATAAAAAATTAAATGTGCGCACAAGCCTACTAACAAGATGTTGACCTGCCTGAGCAAGGTAATTTAACTTTCATATTTTTCTCTCTGACATGTTTCGTTCTTATTAATCTATACTGCATATACAGTGGTGGCCACTGACAGATCTGAAAATATTGACCTTTTTGCCTCCAAAACATGATTTAATTTCATAAAGTTCATAAAACATGCAGATGGTTGTTCTGAGCACAATAAATATCAGATGAAGTGAGTCCTACTGTGCTTATCCACTTTTGACTTTAATATTTGGTATGTCCACCTTGGTATTGCAGCAATTAGTCCCGCAGCACATCTCTCTGGCATAGTGTCAATATATTTCCTGAGAACTTCAACATTAATATTATCCCATGCCACACCTGACAATGATTACACAAGTAATTTGGCTTTTACTACCATTTTCCTCAGTAAGCCTTAGACTTGATTGCAATTTTAGGATCCTAACATAGGTACGGCAAGTGTAACAGTTATATTGTAATAATGTAAAGTCCTGATTCGTTGTAAACTTAAAACCGACATCAGCTCAAAACACACATTTGAGTCAATGATAGAAACGTTAGCTAGCTTACTACACAATCTGAATTTAATGTTAATTTAGTTAACATTAGCATAATGCAAATGAGCCCATAGTATGTTTCAAAGATGACACTGCTAACGTCAATTATATGGCAACTGACGTTAAAGTTGTGTTTAAATGTTTTTCTGAAAAAGGGAGCTAAATAATAAATGTTACCGGAGACAAAGTGCTGACTGCACAATCTGGAGTTAGATGTTGGCTGCCAGTGGTCCCTTCTGATTAACGCCAACCATTTATTCCGCCGATCTAACTCCTTTGGAATAGAGTAAAATTGTAGTTCGGGGTTTCTCTGACGACTGTTGTTACACCCAACAGCACAACATATACCGGGCATGTTGTAATTTTTGTGATCCTTCTGTGAGTGCTTCTTTAATCCTTCTCTGACAGCTGTAATCATAGGTTTAAATAGGTAGCGCAGTTTAAATCTTACTTCCGCCTTCCGCAAACCATAGTAGATCGCTTCCGGTTTTGTACGCTCTACGCTGACATGGCGGTGTTTTATACACGAAGCCTTCAGAAGCTACCAAAGATGCGAATAACCGATGTCCATCGGATATGCTCGCTAACATCTAAAACGCCAGCCACCAAAATGGATAAGAGATTCAAGTTATATGCTTCCTCGTACATTATGGACTACGAGGGTATGTAAGCTAGCGGAGCGGAAATGCTGTACAATATCGCTAGCTAGCTAATGCTAACAATCTGTCTGATGTTGAATACCAAAATAAAAGCCCTCCAATACTCATATTACAAAATAAGAGCAAGAATATACGCTTGCTGCATCTCTACATTCAAAAAGCTATAAAAAATAAAAGTTCTGGATTGCACAGACCAGTTCCACCTCAGATTGAGAGTACACCTTCCCACAGTGTCAGCTGCGTCGTTTCAGGACTGTCTGATGTGGAATTACAAAATAAGAGCCCCCACAACTTCCATATATGTGCTGTTTTGTGTCTACAAAAAATTATCTCTGTATATTTTTGTACAGATTGTTCTTCAGGATTCATACCCTGTCATCCTGGTTTCACACTGGTGCTCATGTGTAGCTAGGACTGCTGTGTGCAACCACATTGTTGCATTGCTGTTGCAAACAGCACATTATTCTGAGCTAGGGATGGGCGTATCGATCCTAAGTATCGATATATCGATACTGACATGAGTATCGAAAGTATCAATACTCAAACTAAAAATATCGATACTAAGGTGTGTTTTATTTACCAGTGATTTTGTTTATTTAAAATAATAATAATAATAATGCGTACAAATGCATTGAATTGGACGAATAACCTTTGTTAGCGAGTAATTATGTAGGATAGAACTATTTTCCTGCTCCTCTGAATACACGCAAATGTTGCGAGACAGAACCACAGAGAGCGTTCACTCACTTCTAAAAGTGCATTCGAACAGGGCTGCGTTTCCCAAAAGCATCATAAGAAAGCATTAAAGCTTTTGGGAACAGCAGCCCTGAACAATGCTTATCAGAGGACCGAAAAAAACATATGTTTGAGTTATTTCTCAATAAACAAATTGAAATCGTAGCCTACATAGTTTGTACAATTACATTTATTTAAATTGAACGTTGAAAGATAATATAGATCATGCTCTATTCTGTAATGTTAATAGAAATCATACACTGTCAGAACAAAAAGGTTGCATTTTATGGATGCAACAGCCGGTCACTGGCAGTCCCTTATGATAATGAACCATGGTTTTACTAAAATGACCATAGTTCAACTGTAGCATTTGTAGATTTGAATCATGTGTAAACAAACACATTTGAACCATGTGTAAACAAAAATATAACCTAATAAATTACAATTAATGCGTATTGAATGTTAAAATGTGTTTTAAACAAATTTAAGTGGTTATTACCCATTTTACTCTTAGTAATTTATTAATTTAATAAATTTCATCATTTAAAAGTTTAGTTCAGAAGTATCGTATCGGTATCGATATCGATGATACTGCCTTGAAAAATATCGGTATCATATCAAAAACAAAATAAGTGGTATCGCCCATCCCGATTCTGAGGGGGGTGGACATTTTGGGGTAAACTAACCCCTTAAGTTGGTTTCTTGACCATTTTTATATTTCATATTTTTTTTAAAGACTTTTTGTGAGCTCTTATGTATTAAAATTAAATGTTTCATGTAATAATTAAAATTTTTAAAAACAATTTTTTTCCAAAAGTAACAAGAATTGTGATGTATATAATGCAATGAACAAAGAGAAAATGATTTCTACAGATTTATTTTAATGACAATAAACATTTCAAATAAAAAATATTTTCTCACTGTAAGTTTTCTATTTTCATTCACTCTAAATATAAGATACATATATACAAGAGTAGAGGACAGTTAATGAAAACCACTCAAGCTGAAACATAACTTGTATGGCTACAGGTTAACCGGTTATTTGGCCCATGCCTTGACCAGTGGCTTGTTCTGGTAGTTGGCAAGGAGGCAGGCTACTGCAAAAAGCTGGTTGATACTGCCAGCAATGGCCAGAGGAATAACAGTGTCAAACAGTTTATTCTCTTTGATGAGCCTATTTGCTCTCTCTACATGTATCCTTAACCGTGCAATGTCCTGAGTGACCAGCACTTCCTCGTGAGACAACTGCGACTTTTTAGTTAGAAAAGGTGGTCTGTAAACTTTGCAGGGCACTAGGTCATCAATTCTAAAACCCTTATCCACCATTACAGCCATGTCTTTATCCAAAAGAGGGATAATGCCAGATTGCCTGAACAATTCTGTCACTGACAGCACCAGAATACAGTGAGGAAACAAAAGTAACAGCACCATGTGGTGACACGCCAATCATTCCTTTCAGGGTAGTGTGGGATTTATACAGAGAAAACATCTCACTCTGTAAGAGTAAAGATGAAGGTGTCTGACATTTCAGCTCAGTACAATCAACGATAACTTGGGTGTCAGAATATTTGCCGAACACACTCGGCATTGTGGCTCTAATGTCCTCAGGAGACATCCATATTCCGACAGCCCCCAGTAAAGTATATAAAAAATTAACCCAAGTCTTTATGATCCTGCTGACGGTGGACTGATGAATGTTGAACCGATCCCCCAGATCCTTCTCCTTCAGACCCAGCGACAGGTAAACCAAGAAGAGGAACAGTTCAGCGATCAGTGGAAGTCTAATATTAATGTAGTATAACTGTGATATATACATGTAATATAATCTAATGTACATTAAATGAAATGAAGTTTTTTCTTTGTGGAAATAGCTTTTTCTGTCTTCAACCCCAACGTTTTAGATTTTCTTGTGCTTCAGATCAGAACACGGCTCATTCCCATTGAAATACTGGAAACAAAACGAAATAATACATCTTTAAGTACTAATAATTGACCATCATTGATAAAATGGAATACAATCAGCAAATACAAATCAAAAATTGTCACACTGGTAGTCTGCTTTCTATTTTTTCATAGCAGGATACAGATATAAACTCCACACCAAACAATAAGAAATGTAATTGATAATGCTTTATGGATCCAGTAAGAGTTACAGTGGTAAAACATTATGCACTGATACAGTGCAGTGTAATAGAGTGAAAATATAGCAAAAGTGATATGTGATATTTAAAAAGTATATGTAGTACAAATTGTGCTAAAGTGACAATAAAATAGTGAGTACAACAGTACAATACAATGTAAGTGATATAATAATAGATTTATAATAGGTTTAGAACAGGTTTCAGTTCTTGCGTTCCCTGAGAATAGTGTTTTTTTTAGTTGTGATGTCAAAACCTGACTAATGAAGACTAATTCTCAGCTGGTTCCCCTCAAGGTTTTCCAATGGGGTTTTATAATGGGGTTTTACAAATGATGAATAATATAAGGTCTGCGCTAAACATAACTTGACAATACTTTTGCTCTACAATGCAAATTACACACACCCATGCTGAAAATGCACATTTTCAAGCAGTTAACAAAAATAAACAAATGCTCCTATCTTGGTCATTAATATATAAGCATAATTCTTCTCTGCATCTCTATTTCATATGAAATAATAGAAACATTCTATATAAACAATTTTTATTGTTTATGATTTTTTACTGGTGGTTTTATTCTCGCTGTAGTATTGTTGTTGCCGCCGCCGCCAGGTCGTGAAGACGCTGTGTGCTTCGTTGTGAAAGCGAAACTACTTTGTTTGGTCTTCCAAAAGAGGACGATATCCGCTTGATCATGCCTGGAACTGATCCGTGCTGGTCGCTGGAGGAAATACATCAACTTTGCACTGTGGATCGCCGGATCGGCTTTCACCGTGGACGAAACAGAGTCCAGCCAGGGGTCGTCACATGTGGTTGCCGCAAGCCCGTCGGCTGCGCCGTTCTCAAGCCCGCCGGCCTCTGCTCACTCAAGCCGGCCTCCGCTCACTAAAGCCGGCCTCCGCTCACTGAAGGCCGCGGTGTGTGACGCTGTTAAACTACTTTATTTGGCCTTCCAAAAGACTACACGACTAGAAATCAGTGGTTAAGTTGTATTTACAACACTGTTCCAGAACAGTTCAACCCAAATATTCAAATGTGTGCAGCACATTTTATGGAGGACTGTTTCCTGATCCTGGGAGAGTAGACAACAATGCCGGCTGTTCTGACTCACAGACTGTAAGTAAGTTTTTTATATTTAAAGGATTTGCCACTAACGCAAGTTTTAAGCAGTGTAGAGTAGCACTTGTTGTTTGTCATTTCTCCGATCACTAATGCAAACATGGTTTTACGTTTACGTGGCGCGATGCAACGCAACGCGTAAAAAGACAGTTTAAGTCATTATAATCCATAATTATGTCCCCACTGGATGCAACAAATGCCTCGTTTATAATGGGTTTTAATGTTTTTTGTCTTGTCGCTCCGGCCTGACAGGGCATCACAGTATGGTAAGGGGCGTAACATTTCCGTCACACGCTTGAGGTATTCGGCCAATCACAATGCACTGGATAGCTGGCCAATCAGAGCACACCTCGCTTTTCAGAAAGATGAGCTTTGTAAAAATCAACGCGTTTCAGAAAGGCGGGGCATAGAGGAGAAACAATAATGTACAGTATGTGGAAAATAACAGTTTTTTTAACCTTAAACCGCATAAACATTTCATTACACCAAATAATGTTCTTTTTAGCAGCATCATATGACCCCTTTAACTCTAAATCTGTCAAAAAATGATCTGGCCGTATAATGTTTAGGCTCTAATGTTTACATGATACGTTTTGTCATCTGACACTACAGGAGTTACTCACTTGAGTTGTATTTGATCGTGTTAACTGACTGTTTTAATATTTAGTTGGGTATTTTTTAAAAATTGTAAAGGTCGGTACAATAGCCTAGATGTTTACAGTGGTCATCGGTGCATTTAAAGTCCCCCTGTAGTCAAACATTTTATCCTTTAAAACTCATCTTTGATCATCAAAATGACATATTTAAATGTTTTTTCTTGTGAAAATAATTTTCTCATGCCTTAAAATAGCTTGAATGCAACTCTACACCCTTGCCTCCTTTACTATATGCGGATCTATGAATACGCAAATTAGCCCCGCCTCCACTCAGTCACACAGCAGCCAGCGCCTCCTGAACTGTAGTAAACGTGATACAATGGCAAGTGGAAATATTGGTTTAACTAAGCCATATGTGTTTGAACCAGAAATAAGCAGGTATGCTCAACCTAAGCAAGGAGACTGATGGCTAACTTCGTGAGGTGAACATTATCTGTTTGCGCTGGTTGGTACACGGATAAACGACTGATAAAAAGTTAGGTTACTTGCGTAACCCCGGTTCTCTGAGAACAGAGCGAGGTATCTCACTATGGGAAATGCCCCAGGCGTGATAGACTATGGAAGCACCAATTACACCACATCTGTCCGAAGGATGGACCAATCACAGCTCATGACAAGGAGCCCACCCCCTCCATATATACTGTATATATGGCTGTGATCCCTGAAAACAGCATTCTAAGCACGCTTTTCCCCTGTGTTATGCGAGTAGGGAAGCTTGGTGAGATACCTCGCTCTGTTCTCGGAGAACCAGGGTTACGCAAGTAACCTTACATTCTCTTTCAAACAATCGCTCGGTATCTCACTATGGGAATGATATAGCCAACTCCCGAAATGCATGCTTTCCCATAGCCACTGAACAGACCTGGCAAGAACGAAAGATAACCTTTTAATTCTCTAAAGAGCCAACATTGACAGTGGTAAAATGTCCAGACATCCAGACGCTAAAATCTGATAAATGTATGAGGGGAAGCTCAGCTTGCCCACGAGGTGGCCATACCCCTTGTTGAATGAGCCCTTAAGCCCGCTGGGGAATGAAGACCCATAGATGTAGGCCAATTCAATTGCCTCCACCTTCCAATGGGAAAGGCGCTATGAGGAGATCGGCTTACCCTTACATTGAGTGGCTCATGAAACGAATAACTGATCATTCTTCCTGAACGATCGTGTCCTGTTTACATAATAGCGTAACGCTCGTACAGGACACAAAGTGTGCAATTTCCGCTCCTCCTTCGAAGTAAAAGGAGGGGGGTAAAAGGCACGCAACTCCAAAGCAGAGCAGTTATAAGATGAATCACTGACTTTGGGAACGAACGCCAGGTTAGGCAGCAACGCAACCTTGCTGTCATCCGGGCTAAAATCCAGACATGCCAGATGAACCGACAAAGCGTGTAACTCACACACTCACTTAGCTGAGACTAAATCAAGTAGTAAGACCATTTTCAGAGATAGGAGCTTAATATCCACACTCTCCAGAGGTTCAAATGGGGCCCGAGTAAAAGCATTCAGAACCATGGACAAGTCCCATGACGGAACCAGATGCTTAGATACTGGTCTCAAACGCTTCACCCCCTTCATAAAACGGCATAAAAGAGGGTGCCGTCGAAATGAGACTCCCTTGAAGCCTACATGACACGCTGAAATAACAGCCAGGTAAACTTTAATAGTAGAAAACGCTCTCCCATTGTTCATTAAGCTTTGTAAAAAGCAAAGTACATCGCTCACCGCGAACTGAAAGGGAATCACTCCTTTACGAGTACACCAGTCCTCAAACACACGCCATTTAAGACCATACAGTGAGCACGTTGATGGAGCTCTAGCGCTCTGGATAGCGTTTATAACCTCCTGTGGAAGTCAGAGAGCGTATAAATTTAACCCTTCACGGGCCAGACCCAAAGATCGACTCGTTCCAGGTGTGGGTGAAATATCTGCCCCCTGAGGGTTAATCTGAGGTTAATAAAACGCTATTAACCTCAAAAATTGGTTAAATTTACTTACTTGACGATGTTGTGTTGAAGACTCAAATGCAGCAAAGTTTGTGATTCCAAATCGCGCCCACGATCATACGCGTGTGACGTGCGGATGTCAATGCGGGAGAGATGCGTCTGACTCCGGGCTACTTTTACACTGGGTTATTCTTCAAGTTAGCGGTTCTAAATACAGATAAATAAGTGCTAACAGCACATGACATCATGAAAATAGGGGGAAATATATAACAGTTGGTGAAACATCTACATAAAAAATATAACTGTTACCGGATTAACCTGGCTGCCTTCTCACTAGACCCTCTGCTTTGCAGCACAGTTAATGATATGCTAAGGATAGGATCCCTTGACGCGATTGGTGATTGAATTTTGTAGCGTAGCAAAAAAAAAAGGCTGTTTCAAACCACATTTCTGTGACTGCCTTTGGGAAACTACAGTTTTACAGAGAAAATACTCAGCAGGCTCTCCCTGAAGGAGCTGGACAATCTCTGCCAACCACAGCCTCCCCGGCCAATGAGGGGCTATCAGAAGGAGAGATAACCCATTTTCTCTTACTCTTTCCAGGGTGGGAGAAATTAGACTCAGCGGAGGAAATGCATGAAGCAACACGTTCGGCCACGGGTGCGCCAGCGCATCCACACCCAAAGGCGCATTTTCGTCCCTGAGAGAGAAATACAGCGGACACTTTGCGTTTACCTGCGAGGCGAAGAGATCTACGGCAGCCTTGCCGTACATCCCCCAAATCTGATCCACCCCCTGCTGGTGGAGCACCCATTCTCCATATAACGGGTTGCCCCTTGACAGGTACGCGTGTGACGTGCGGATGTCAATGCGGGAGAGATGCGTCTGACTCCGGGCTACTTTTACACTGGGTTATTCTTCAAGTTAGCGGTTCTAAATACAGATAAATAAGTGCTAACAGCACATGACATCATGAAAATAGGGGGAAATATATAACAGTTGGTGAAACATCTACATAAAAAATATAACTGTTACCGGATTAACCTGGCTGCCTTCTCACTAGACCCTCTGCTTTGCAGCACAGTTAATGATATGCTAAGGATAGGATCCCTTGACGCGATTGGTTATTGAATTCTGTGACGTAGCAAAAAAAAAAGGCTGTTTCAAACCACATTTCTGTGACTGCCTTTGGGAAACTACAGTTTTACAGAGAAAATACTCAGCAATGGTGTTGATAAATGGATTGGCAAATGGTTTGTCTAAAACCCATTTTCTCTTACTCTTTCCAGGGTGGGAGAAATTAGACTCAGCGGAGGAAATGCATGAAGCAACACGTTCGGCCACGGGTGCGCCAGCGCATCCACACCCAAAGGCGCATTTTCGTCCCTGAGAGAGAAATACAGCGGACACTTTGCGTTTACCTGCGAGGCGAAGAGATCTAAGGCAGCCTTGCCGTACATCCCCCAAATCTGATCCACCACCTGCTGGTGGAGCACCCATTCTCCGTATAACGGGTTGCCCCTTGACAGGAGATCCGCCCCTACATTCAGGACTCCTGGTACATGCGTCGCACGCAGCAAGCTGAAGTGCGCTGCACCCTAGACAATCAGTTTGCGTGCTAGATTGTGTAATTGTAACGAACTGGTTCCCCCTTGGCGATTGATATATGCCACCACAGTTGTGTTGTCTGTCCTGACCAGAACATGAAACCCTTCCAAGAATGGGAGAAAATGTTTCAGGGCCAGAAAGACTGCCATCAACTCCAACATATTTATGTGAAGTTTGCGAAGCTGGGGCGTCCAGCGACCCTTTACCGATCTGCCCTGAAAAACAGCCCCCCAGCCCGACAGAGATGCATTCGTTGTCACTACTTTCCTCAGAGACACCCCCCCCAAGGGAACCCCTGTCTGGAATAAGCGGGGATCTCTCCACTGATGAAGAGCCATCACGCACTCCGCGTGTATTCTTACACTGCGCGCGAGGTGCCGACAAGGACACAGACGTCTCGCTGCTACCCATTGCTGGAAGTCTCTCATTTTCAGCAAACCTAGCAGGACCACGGACAACGATGAAGCCATCATGCCCAAAAGGCGGAGACAGGTCCTGAACGATACCAAATTTCCCTTGCGAAACTGGGCCAGGCACTGATAAAACGCTATTAACCTCAAAAATTGGTTAAATTTACTTACTTGACGATGTTGTGTTGAAGACTCAAATGCAGCAAAGTTTGTGATTCCAAATCGCGCCCACGATCATACGCGTGTGACGTGCGGATGTCAATGCGGGAGAGATGCGTCTGACTCCGGGCTACTTTTACACTGGGTTATTCTTCAAGTTAGCGGTTCTAAATACAGATAAATAAGTGCTAACAGCACATGACATCATGAAAATAGGGGGAAATATATAACAGTTGGTGAAACATCTACATAAAAAATATAACTGTTACCGGATTAACCTGGCTGCCTTCTCACTAGACCCTCTGCTTTGCAGCACAGTTAATGATATGCTAAGGATAGGATCCCTTGACGCGATTGGTTATTGAATTCTGTGACGTAGCAAAAAAAAAAAGGCTGTTTCAAACCACATTTCTGTGACTGCCTTTGGGAAACTACAGTTTTACAGAGAAAATACTCAGCAATGGTGTTGATAAATGGATTGGCAAATGGTTTGTCTAAAAGCATATTAAAAACACCACATAGAAAATAAACAACATAAAAACTTGATTTTCACCACAGAGGGATTTAAACCGATATTGCACTGATAATAGAGATTGTTTTCGTTTTCCATCTGTTATGTGATTATATATTTAATACAATGAGCTTTGATCATGTTAATATTTATATATATATATATAGCATGTCATTGAGCAACATTATTATACCTGTAGGAACAGCGAGGGTTAGTTTTAGGGTTGAACCTTTATGCTGACGTTTTTCCTAAAATATCACACATTTTTAGATTAAATAAAGAAAATGACTTTAAAATGCATCTAATTGCTCATAACTTTGAATAAACGTCAGGCCTGAACTAAATTAGTTAAAAATAGTAAGAGCAAGACAGCTTTACCGCATGAAAGATCAGGTCGCATTTGTTTTATTTCCTTTCATTTAATATTTGTCTTTCTTAAAAATAATATTAACAGTTTGATATTTTAATTTTAGTCCTGATAGAAGTGAAAGAATAAAGTGAAGAACCAAATGACGTAGAGGAGAAACATCAGTATCAGACGCCTCATCGTTTCATGACTACAGAAATACCTTTCAGTGACTCACAAACTAAAAAGAAAAAGTGAGGAAAACGGACTCTGAGAACCTTCACCTGCCCTCGATGTGTGAAGACTTTCACACGTAAAGGAAATGGTCTCAGGTTACGTATGTAACCATGGTTCCATGAGTAGGGAACGAGACACTGTGTCCTTTAGGGTGTCTGAAGCATATATCTAAAAACGACAATAACATTGGCCAGCGACAGCCTATGACATCATTACCTGCGCGATCATATAAATCGTATAAAAGGGCGCCAGGAGAACACGTCATCCGCTTCCTTGTCTGAAGCTTGCGTCCGAAGCATGGCAGGGAAACCAGAGGACGCAGTGTCTCGTTCCCTACTCAGGAAACCATGGTTACATATGTAACCTGAGACATTCCCTTTCAAGGGAACTTTGAACTGCGTCCTCTAGGGTCGCTATGGGGAACGGTATACCCACGCCACCATGCTGAGGGGAGTGCATGCCAAATCACAGGCGAGCACTAAGTACCAACTCTACCAAAGTTTTAAGGGAGTTGCCCCTGGGACGTTAGACGGCTGTCATTATCCCCTATGGCCAAAGGCCTAAGCTACATACCCCAAAAAATTTACCTGTTAGGGCCAGGACTCCTGGGCCCAGGGTAGAGCTCAAAGGCTTGGAATCAGGAAGAGATTCCTTTAAGGGGATACGACCAAGTGCCTAGAATTGTACTAGTCTGTCTAACGGTCTAAACAGACCCCTAGTAGCAACACCCTGTTAAAGTAGGTATCCTGAGGTTACATAGGTAGAGTGGTGCCCAAGGTGGAACCGGGGCCTAACCGACTCAAAGAAAGGGCACGAAGCCACCACGCATAGCCCCTACTAGGGATGTTCATTTCGGTTATTTTTCCTAACCGACAACCAACGCTTGTTAACCGACAAGATTATTTTAAATTAGAATTGAATTAAATTAGAAAGGATAAATGTCTGTGACCCGTTAAAAAAAAAACTGCCAGCAAAGAAAAATATCATAAAGCTAGGCTATAAATAAATAGGCCTATACAAGAAACATTTTTACTTAATAAATTAAGAAAATGAAAGAAAAACTGTGCAACAATGCAGAGTTTTGGTTCATTTTTGTGCTGCGTGAAAGGAAAAACGACAGAAAGCGGCATCCTATTTTTCTTTAGGCTTATTTTACAAAAGCACAAAGATTTGTTTTTATTGTGAATGTACACAAATAAAGGCAAACCTTTTACAATTCAGATTATATTTAGGACTAAAAGGAGTAGTTGCTTCCACTGTTAGAAGAAAAAAAAACTCAAGTGATTGCGCTGGTGCCGCATGCGCACACACAGTTAAGCATTGCTACCTTGACAATGCAGCCTGTTCATTATCATAATAAAATACAGTCAGTCAAACTACTGAAAATAGTAAGGTCGCATTTGTTTTATTTCCTTTCATTTAATATTTGTCTTTCTTAAAAATAATATTAACAGTTTGATATTTTAATTTTAGTCCTGATAGAAGTGAAAGAATAAAGTGAAGAACCAAATGACGTAGAGGAGAAACATCAGTATCAGACGCCTCATCGTTTCATGACTACAGAAATACCTTTCAGTGACTCACAAACTAAAAAGAAAAAGTGAGGAAAACGGACTCTGAGAACCTTCACCTGCCCTCGATGTGTGAAGACTTTCACACGTAAAGGAAATGGTCTCAGGTTACGTATGTAACCATGGTTCCATGAGTAGGGAACGAGACACTGTGTCCTTTAGGGTGTCTGAAGCATATATCTAAAAACGACAATAACATTGGCCAGCGACAGCCTATGACATCATTACCTGCGCGATCATATAAATCGTATAAAAGGGCGCCAGGAGAACACGTCATCCGCTTCCTTGTCTGAAGCTTGCGTCCGAAGCATGGCAGGGAAACCAGAGGACGCAGTGTCTCGTTCCCTACTCAGGAAACCATGGTTACATATGTAACCTGAGACATTCCCTTTCAAGGGAACTTTGAACTGCGTCCTCTAGGGTCGCCATGGGGAACGGTATACCCACGCCACCATGCTGAGGGGAGTGCATGCCAAATCACAGGCGAGCACTAAGTACCAACTCTACCAAAGTTTTAAGGGAGTTGCCCCTGGGACGTTAGACGGCTGTCATTATCCCCTATGGCCAAAGGCCTAAGCTACATACCCCAAAAAATTTACCTGTTAGGGCCAGGACTCCTGGGCCCAGGGTAGAGCTCAAAGGCTTGGAATCAGGAAGAGATTCCTTTAAGGGGATACGACCAAGTGCCTAGAATTGTACTAGTCTGTCTAACGGTCTAAACAGACCCCTAGTAGCAACACCCTGTTAAAGTAGGTATCCTGAGGTTACATAGGTAGAGTGGTGCCCAAGGTGGAACCGGGGCCTAACCGACTCAAAGAAAGGGCACGAAGCCACCACGCATAGCCCCTACTAGGGATGTTCATTTCGGTTATTTTTCCTAACCGACAACCAACGCTTGTTAACCGACAAGATTATTTTAAATTAGAATTGAATTAAATTAGAAAGGATAAATGTCTGTGACCCGTTAAAAAAAAAACTGCCAGCAAAGAAAAATATCATAAAGCTAGGCTATAAATAAATAGGCCTATACAAGAAACATTTTTACTTAATAAATTAAGAAAATGAAAGAAAAACTGTGCAACAATGCAGAGTTTTGGTTCATTTTTGTGCTGCGTGAAAGGAAAAACGACAGAAAGCGGCATCCTATTTTTCTTTAGGCTTATTTTACAAAAGCACAAAGATTTGTTTTTATTGTGAATGTACACAAATAAAGGCAAACCTTTTACAATTCAGATTATATTTAGGACTAAAAGGAGTAGTTGCTTCCACTGTTAGAAGAAAAAAAAACTCAAGTGATTGCGCTGGTGCCGCATGCGCACACACAGTTAAGCATTGCTACCTTGACAATGCAGCCTGTTCATTATCATAATAAAATACAGTCAGTCAAACTACTGAAAATAGTAAAAAAAATGTAGTAAAATCTGTGCCGTTAAGTGTTATCACCACATCGCTGTGATGTTATGCAAAACATTTTGTTTTACGTGGATATTGGAATGCGAGTGAAGCCTAGGCTACATAATAAATAATCATTTGCCATTCAAATACATCACGAATAGGAAAACATTTGATTTTGTGTGGAATGAGAGACCCAACGTTGGTTTCAGTTTCGTTTTAGCCTAAATGAATTCGTTTTGGCTTGTTTATATTGCTATAGCTTCTTATATTTTTAATTCTTGTTCTTTTCTAAATACTGTTAATTGAAAGGATTTGTTGTAAAATAGCCTACCTATGTTTACAGTGTTTATTATAATGTTTGTAAACATTTCGCCTCGGCATTAGGCCTATTTCTGAATGACACATTAAAATGTGACTTATACGCGACTTGTTTTTACCCCCTAAAAAACTATTTTTTTTATACGCGTAGCGTATTTTAACCATGCAGCAAACCTTTTTAAATATTTGGATAAATTACTGAAAAAATAAATAATTACCATGCTGAGGGGAGTGCATGCCAAATCACAGGCGAGCACTAAGTACCAACTCTACCAAAGTTTTAAGGGAGTTGCCCCTGGGACGTTAGACGGCTGTCATTATCCCCTATGGCCAAAGGCCTAAGCTACATACCCCAAAAAATTTACCTGTTAGGGCCAGGACTCCTGGGCCCAGGGTAGAGCTCAAAGGCTTGGAATCAGGAAGAGATTCCTTTAAGGGGATACGACCAAGTGCCTAGAATTGTACTAGTCTGTCTAACGGTCTAAACAGACCCCTAGTAGCAACACCCTGTTAAAGTAGGTATCCTGAGGTTACATAGGTAGAGTGGTGCCCAAGGTGGAACCGGGGCCTAACCGACTCAAAGAAAGGGCACGAAGCCACCACGCATAGCCCCTACTAGGGATGTTCATTTCGGTTATTTTTCCTAACCGACAACCAACGCTTGTTAACCGACAAGATTATTTTAAATTAGAATTGAATTAAATTAGAAAGGATAAATGTCTGTGACCCGTTAAAAAAAAAACTGCCAGCAAAGAAAAATATCATAAAGCTAGGCTATAAATAAATAGGCCTATACAAGAAACATTTTTACTTAATAAATTAAGAAAATGAAAGAAAAACTGTGCAACAATGCAGAGTTTTGGTTCATTTTTGTGCTGCGTGAAAGGAAAAACGACAGAAAGCGGCATCCTATTTTTCTTTAGGCTTATTTTACAAAAGCACAAAGATTTGTTTTTATTGTGAATGTACACAAATAAAGGCAAACCTTTTACAATTCAGATTATATTTAGGACTAAAAGGAGTAGTTGCTTCCACTGTTAGAAGAAAAAAAAACTCAAGTGATTGCGCTGGTGCCGCATGCGCACACACAGTTAAGCATTGCTACCTTGACAATGCAGCCTGTTCATTATCATAATAAAATACAGTCAGTCAAACTACTGAAAATAGTAAAAAAAATGTAGTAAAATCTGTGCCGTTAAGTGTTATCACCACATCGCTGTGATGTTATGCAAAACATTTTGTTTTACGTGGATATTGGAATGCGAGTGAAGCCTAGGCTACATAATAAATAATCATTTGCCATTCAAATACATCACGAATAGGAAAACATTTGATTTTGTGTGGAATGAGAGACCCAACGTTGGTTTCAGTTTCGTTTTAGCCTAAATGAATTCGTTTTGGCTTGTTTATATTGCTATAGCTTCTTATATTTTTAATTCTTGTTCTTTTCTAAATACTGTTAATTGAAAGGATTTGTTGTAAAATAGCCTACCTATGTTTAC